AATAAAATTAGATTTTCTTAAATTTTAGAAAAATTAATTCATTGGAAAAAAAAATCATCCAACCAATTACCAAACACCCTTGTTTCATTAGCCTCCCTCACAAATGAAGTCAAAGCATTCCAATACGGCAAATTATATTCAGGACTAGAGTTCACAATGCGTATTGTTGATCATGTTCCAAATTATGTACTCGTAGTTAATATATTATATTACGTACATTCAATTAACAGATTATGATCATTATGCATATGCAGAAAGTGCGTAATATAATAATTGTAGATACATAATAATATGTAAATGATAGATAAAAATAAAAAAATATAGAGTTAATACCATTTGAGGTCTTCCGAGTATAGTGGTTTTGCCACGTTTAGTCCTAAACTTTCAAATTGACCATTTGTGATCCTTCGACTTTCAAATTTAACCATTCGTGCCTTCGTGGTCCAAGTTAACCACCCATGGTCCTTCAAGTTTCAAAATTTAACCGATCGTGGTCCCCTTAAAAGGACCATGGATGGTTAAAATTTAATAGTCGAAGGACCACGGGTGGTTAACTTGGACCATAGATGGTTAAATTTGAAAGTCGAAGGACCACATATGGTCAATTTGAAAGTTTAGGACTAAACGTGACAAAACCACTATATTCGGAGGACCTCGGATGGTATTAACTCAAAAATATATATATAATATATTAACTGTATGTATATAATTTGAATCAAAGTTTATAATGCGCATGATTCTCCACAATATAACAATTGTTGTAAACACCTTCAAAATTCAAATACTCAACAACCCAACCATTGACCTATACTATATTTCCCAAGGAAGACTATAAACACATTATAGAAACTTAGAAAGTTGAAACACGTTACATTAACTTTCTCATTCCATGTCTCTGAAGGTTCATGGAAATAACATCACCAAACTCACACAGCATTCAACAACCAATTCTTTACCTCAATTTCCTTGGCCCCCCTCTAAGATATAGTGAGTAAGGATGAGGAAATTAACAACCCATATATTTTATACTTATATATTATGTTCTTTTATAACATTATATTGTTTAAACATATTTGTATCTTTTACATGTACTGTTGCAAAAATGGGAACACAAGGATACAACTATACCCTTTATAATAATTTTACAAATTTTATTGGTTAAACTACTATATTCAAACAGCATATAATAAGGCGGTCTTAAACAATATTGTACAAATTAAATTATGTATCATGTGGTGTACATGTATTTGATAGCATGTAGTAAAAGTTTGTAACCTCATGTATACTTAGTAAACATTAAAATCCAGGATATTCATCTTAAACCATATTATTATGTTATATGATATAAACGTTTAGTCAAAATAACATTTTCTAATATTTTTTAAAGGAAAAATATTTGATGCGCCGTTGATATATAAATGCTATACACAATGGCAACAATAATAGAATCATTTCTTGCAAAATATTTATTACATTCTAAATTATTTGGCATTTTATTATGAAACTCTTTATTTCTAATTAACAAAATCTATCTAATTTTTAAAACATCTTTATTACTTATATAATAATTCAAATGGTACATTATTCGTATAACCAAAATTATCTAATGAAAGTATTATTTCTAATAGAATCATTTCTTGCAAAAAAAAAAAAAAAGTATTATTTCTAATACAAAAATTTGGACTGTTTGTTGTCAATAATTATAAAACTAACAATGTATTTTTTTTTTATAACTAAATTCCTCAACTATGGATGAATGTTGATGGGCAGCTGAGATCAGTCGCAACTTTTTATCCACCATATATATATATATATATATATATATATATATATATATATATATATATATATATATACTAATAAGAGCCCAAGAGAGTTAGGCCTATAATAGGTAGAAAAATTGGCGGTCAAATTTTTTAATCAAATGAATGGCTCAGATTGATCAGATTTTAATTTTTTCTTGAGATTTTCTAATTTACCCTTAATTTTATGATTTTCCGTTAACTTTTCCGTTAAATATTATCTTTTCCGTTAATTTCTGTTAGTTCACCGTTAACTTACTCATTGATTTTAATAAGAAAGGTCTTAGGTTCGAACCTCATCTCAATCAAAGTTGGTATAATTATTACTCTATTTTACTCTTATTATATTATATTAAATACTAATTTAGTAGGTACAACAAAAAAAAAATACATATGCATTTCTTTAATTTAGAATTATGTGTCTACAATGTCTTTATTCAAAAAAAATATATTCATTATCAATAAATTAAATAAGAGAAATAATTAAACCTCAATGACCACTTGACAATTTTTTCTCTCTAGGGTTCCTAGGGTTTTCTCTCAATCTCTAGGGTTTCTAGGGTTTTTCGAAGCAGTTCGGCTCATCTCTCCCGGCGATCGCCGGCGTTTCAACATCGATGGATGAACGGAATGACGAGCAGGTAGCAGCAGGGCAGTCGGCTGGGATGGTGGAGAGACTCACGGCAAGATGGGCTGATATGGCGTTAGAGGAGGACGGGGACGAGTTCGTCCCGGAGGGTGACGGGGTGGGCGAGGTTGCGGTAGATGGTGAGGCGTCATGGGCGGTTGTAGGCCGTTTCTTGACGGCGAAAGTTGTCAAGCTTGAGTATATGAGGAATGTAATGGCTTCTGTGTGGCAACCGGTAAGAGGGGTTCAGATAACGGAAGTCCAACCGGGGCTATTTTTGTTTGTGTTCTTTCACGACACGGATGTTGCGTATGTCTTGGAAGGGGGGCCATGGGCTTTTGAAAACAATACGCTGGTTTGCCGTGAGGTTCAGGGGGGGATGAATCCGTGTGATGTCCCTCTGGATACGGTAGACATGTGGGTTCAGCTGCATGGATTACCAATGGGCTACACATCGCAAAGTGTTCTTGAGCAGGCCGGTAAGTTCATTGGTACTTTCGTGAAACATGATGATAGGTTTGTTGGGGCTCCCTGGTTAACTTTTTATCGCATTCGGGTCTCAATTGCGGTTGGCAAGCCATTGAGGAGGGGTATGAAGCTGGTTAAGAGGGATAGGACTACGTGTTGGGTGTCCTTTAAGTATGAACGACTTCACAAGTTCTGTTTCTTCTGTGGGCTAATGGGGCATGTTCACACCTTTTGTTTGAAAGCAAGGGAAAGTCGGGTTCCGGAGAGTGAGTTTCGGTATGGAGTGGAGTTGAGGGCGGGGGGTGGAAGGGGTGCTGCGAGAGGGGTGGGTGGGAGCTGGCTTATTCCAGTAGGGGGGAGACCGTTACCGATGCCGGAGAATCGGCCGGCGGGTGGGGAGGGTGTTCGGGGAACGTTGGCGGAAGGTGAGGGTGAGGAGGGGGTTTCGGGAATTGGGGTGTCGGATGGAGGGGAGGTGGTGGCAACCGGGAAACGCCGCAGGGAGGGACAGCAGGGGTGTGAGGGGAGGGAGGGTGAGGATGTGACAATGAACGATGTTTCAAAAAACTTGTGTATGGCGGGAGCTGTATCTCAGCCCCGCCCGTCCTCATGAGTACGCTGAGCTGGAACTGTCGTGGCTTGGGCAATCCACGAACAGTTCGACAGATAGTGGACATTGTGTCCCGGAAGAAGCCTGAATTTGTATTTTTGATGGAGACTATGGTGGCACGGATAGATGCAGAAAGGCTCCGTGTCACGATCGGTTATGAGGGTTTGTTCTATGTAGACAATGACGGGAGGAGTGGTGGTATGGCATTACTTTGGAGGAAGAATAACTCAGCATCGTTGTTGGGATATTCTAAACATTTTGTGGATGTGGAGGTAAGGGCTCAGAACGGGAATCAGTGGCGGATGACTTGTTTCTATGGGCAATCGGATCGTAGCAGGAGGTCGGAGTCCTGGAGTTTGCTGGAGAGATTGAAACCTAAATCTGTTTTACCCTGGGTACTCATAGGGGATTTTAATAATCTTCTGTTTCAGTATGAGAAGAGAGGAGGGAATCCTTACCCAAATCACCTCTTACGAGGCTTTGGGGAGGCCCTAGATGTTTGTGGCTTGATACAGTTGCCTATGCGAGGCCATCAGTTTACCTGGGAGAAAAGTAGAGGGACGGAAAATTGGATTGAGGAGAGACTGGACAAAGTTTTAGCCACAGCGGACTGGTGTGGACTAAATAATCATGTGGATGTGGAAAACATCATAGCCCGACCTTCAGATCACTCAGCACTTTTCCTTAGTATAGATGCGCCACGCATCCGAGGGGGGAGATTTGCAAGACGATTTAGATTTGAGATGGCATGGCTCCAGGATGAGGGGTGTAGAGAGGTGGTGACTACGGCGTGGCAGGGAGGGAGGGTTGAGGGGTTGCTGAATTGTCAGCAGCGGTGTGGGGAGAGGTTGATGAGGTGGGGTGGAGAGAAATTTCATAAGTTTGGAGAGCGTATTGGGCAGTTGAAAAAGAGACTAGAACTGCTCAGGAACAGGAGAGACCCGGCCGCATTGGCTGAGTTTCACCAAGTTGATGTTCTCTTAACCCAGCTGGAGGCGCAGGAGGATGTGTTCTGGAGACAGCGGGCCAAGCAGCACTGGCTTCGCAATGCAGATGCGAATACGAGATTCTATCACAGGTATGCTTCTGCTCGTAAGAAAAAGAATACTGTGAATAGAATTATGAATAATGATGGTGTGTGGGTCGAGGGGAATGATATGTGCTCTGTTATCTTTGAATATTTTCAACAAATTTTTACAACTGAGAGTACTGTTTTTTATGATGCTATGATTGATAATTTTGTCCCGCGAGTAACGCATGCTCAGAATGAATCTTTGTTGCGCCCGTTTGTACCGGAGGATGTGAAAGAGGCAGTATATTCTATGTATCCTGACAAAGCGCCTGGCCCGGATGGAATGAATCCAGGCTTCTACCAGCACTTCTGGGATGTAGTAGGGGGGATGTGTCTGATTTTATAATATCATGTTTGAATACAGGCAATCTTCCGGATGGTATAAATGATACAAACATTGTTTTAATCCCAAAGAAGGCGATGCCGGAGAGGGTGGCTGATATGAGACCGATTGCTCTCAGCAATGTTATTTATAGGGTAATGGCGAAGATGATAACGAATAGGATGAAGCCACTTATGGGAAACTTGATCTCGGAGTCTCAAAGTGCGTTTATCCCGGGCCGCCTGATCACAGATAATATTCTTGTTGCAGCAGAAGTGGGGCATTATTTAAATAGAAAGCAATGTGGGCAGGTAGGATGGAGTGCTTTAAAGCTTGACATGTCAAAGGCTTATGACAGGATGGAGTGGTCTTTTCTGCAGAGAATGATGTGCGCTATGGGTTTCGATCAGCGGTGGGTTACCCTTATAATGCATTGTGTCACAACTGTGAGGTATACGATTATGGTAAACGGGGTGGCAGGTGGACAGATAGTGCCTACACGAGGTCTCAGGCAGGGGGACCCTCTATCTCCCTACTTGTTTATTATTTGTGCAGAGGGGCTCTCCATGTTGTTACAGAAAGCGCAGTTGGATGGGGTAATCCATGGCTGTAGGGTGGCAAGAGGGGCACCGGCGGTGTCCCATCTATTTTTTGCAGATGATAGCCTGCTTTTTTTCAAAGCTAATATAGAGGAAGCTGGTGTAATTAAACAATGCTTACACCAATATGAGAGGTTGTCTGGCCAAAAAGTGAATTATGACAAGTCAAATATTTGTTTCAGTAGAAACACCCAGGAGGAAATAAAGGGGGAGGTGGCGGCAGTTTTAGGGGTAAGTCAGGCGGCTAATTTTGAGAAATATTTGAGGCTCCCATCTTTTGTAGGCAGAAATAAGAGAGCTGTTTTTTCCTATCAGGCAGAGAATTGGTTCCTGGAGTAAAAAGTTGCTTTCTCAGGCTGGTAAGGAAGTACTTTTGAAAAGTGTGGCACAATCTATGCCAACCTTTTCAATGAGTGTTTTTTTGTTACCTGAGACAGTTTGCACATCAATAGAGAGGACCATGAACAGGTATTGGTGGGGATCTGGAACGGAGAGGAAAATACATTGGAAGGCTTGGGATAAATTATGCATCCCTAAGAAGTATGGGGGTCTGGGATTTAAAGACCTACGAGCTTTTAATTTGGCAATGCTGGGAAAACAGGCATGGCGTTTTCTCACAAACCCCGGCACTTTGGTGGCAAGAATATATAAAGCCAGGTATTACCCGAATACATCTTTTGTTGATGCTACCATAGGAAATTGCCCAAGTTTTTGCTGGAGAAGTATAATGGCTGCGCACGGAATGGTTTGTTCAGGGGTAAGGAGGCGTGTAGGGAATGGACAAAAAACATTAATATGGGGGCATCCCTGGCTACCAGATAATCCCAGTCCGTTGGTCCAAACAAGAATGCCCCAGGAGTTGCGACATGCCCATGTAGCAGGATTGATTGACCAACAAACTAATACCTGGGATCCACATATTCTGACTGATTTATTTATTCCTGAGGATGTCACACGTATTTTAATGATCCCTGTTAGCCCCGAATATGAAGACACTTGGTATTGGAAGGGGGAGATGAATGGAATATATTCAGTTAAAAATGCCTATAGGCAGATTAAGGGGGATTATGTGCATAACCCAAGTGATTTTGATAAATGGGTTACTATGTGGAAATTGAAAGTGCCACCCAAATGGAAGACCTTTTTGTGGAGAGCAGTCTGTGGTATCCTCCCTACTACGGACAATCTAATAATGCGACGAGTTGAGATTGATCTGCTGTGCCCAATGTGCCAAGGGGCGCATGAGAACATCATGCATGCGTTACTCGAGTGTGACTATTCAAAATTAGTGTGGAGTATGTCGGGGTTGCCGGTTACCAATATACATACTAATTCATTGCCGACATGGCTTATGGGAATTTTTAATGTCTTGACAGAGGAACAGTGTGGCCTAGCAGTGGCGATATTATATGCTATTTGGAGTACCCGCAACAAGGCGGTATGGGACCACGCCCTCCCAAGACCGACGGACACATGGAATCGAGCGGTGGCGGCCATGCAGGCATACCGACGTGCGCAGCCCGGCCTGCCGGCACGGACACTTACTGCCGTGATCAGTCAAGCCACTGGCGGTGTACCTCGCTGCTACGTAGACGCGGGTTTCAGGCCGGATACGGGAGAAGCATCCTATGGTGTAGTTCTCGTCTCACAACATGGATCGTTTGTTGCGGCAATGAATGGACGGCTCGCGGGTGCTTTCTCGGCTACTATGGCCGAAGCACTGGCCTATAAGGAGGCGCTCTCTTGGCTTAAGAATCGGGACATCATGGAGGTGGACATGTTGACGGACTGCATGGAATTACAAAATATGATGCGTACAAGCCACACGGCTAACTACTCCTACCTTGGGATCATTGTAGACCAGTGTAGGACTGCTATATCGTTATTTACGAGATGCTCACTGAGTTATATTTCGAGAAGTTTAAATTTACATGCTCATACTTTAGCTTCTTTAGCTTTCGATCAGGACCAAGCTATGTATTGGGACTCTGTCCCTCCTGACTCTATCATTCAGTTTATTCATTAATATACCGCATGGAAAATTTTCAAAAAAAAAAAAAAAAGAGAAATAATTTCATTAGTTATATTTTCTTTATTCTTCTTCAATATAAAAATTCTTTACATTCAAATTCATCAATTGATTATATTCATTACATTGTCCCTACAATGTCTTTATTCAAAAAAATTTATTCATTATCAATAAATTAATTAAAAGAAATAATTTCATTAGTTATATTGTTTTTATTTTTTCTTCCAATGTAAAAAATATTTTTTACACTCAAATTTATCAATTGATTATATTCACTACATTGTCTATTATCTTTTTTGTGCAGTGTTTTTTTTTTATTAAATATCAAAGTTATAATATAAAATAATGCTATATATTTATTTACCAAGTATTTTATTAATACCATGAAATATATATATATATATATATATATATATATATATATATATATATATATATATATATATATATATATATATATATATATATATATATATATAATTAAGCCAATCATATTAACTACTTGAGAGATTTGTTGACAAAGAGAGTATTCAAATCACACAGCAAATTGAAGTGGGAAACTACCACGCAATGTCATTATTTGACAATCAGCAGTTAGCCGATTATATTAGCGTATTTGACCAGCGAATTATATCAATCGTTGGTAAAAATATATTTGAAAAAATTAACTGTTTAGATTAGCATGTAACATGACCTAATGGTATACATAATAATACTAATAATAATAATAATAATAATAATAATAATAATAATAATAATAATAATAATAATAATAATTGTAATTTTGCATATTCTCTTAATATAGAATTATAGAGTGTTGGGTAATATGGTTGAAAAATCCCAAAATAATAATAATCCTACGGAAAGATTAATATTATATGGGAAAACAGAAAATTGGGAAGGAAAAGGTTGAGTGTTTGGGTATGGGTTTAGCACGAGTTCGAACACAAGGTTCTTTTCCTTAAAACCTTATTTGCTACCTCCCACAAGTGCTAGGAGTGTTGTAGCCTAGGTTTCCCAGGATAAAACGTGCTACGATTCCTTGTTTAAGCACCTAAACAAGGAACCCGGCAAACAAAGCAAAGCTTGGAACACTGGTTGGCTAAAGAAGAGAGTAGAAGCAGAGTTTTTGAGAGAATAAAGCTACTGGAATTCCTTTTGTTTCTTCACTGTGTAAAATGCTACTGCTTCTACCTCTCTTTATATAGGGATGTTGGAGTGATAGCATTCAACATGGCCATTAAATTGGTGTTAAAACCAATTGTGTAACACCTGTAACGGTCACCACTAAGTAGGATTAAACTCAGAATTTAAAAATAGGAATTAAAACAGTATTAATTCCGTAAGTTTAATCTGTACAACAGGCTGATTTTGATTTGCACCCCCCCCCCCCCCCCCCGCGCGAGAGAGCCTCTATGCTATACAATTCTACAAGCTTGAAAAGAGCTCATGTATATAAGGGGGGCAAATCTTGTTTCCAAACCAATGTGGGACAAAGTCCTACATTTTCCCTTCATTTCCCAACTTAAATGAGTCTACTTTGAGAATCAATATCTCATTCACCCATTATCCGTTTTGAGCGTACAATATATCAATCTCTTCGTCTTACTACGAAGAATTCGAATCCACTTTGACCCGACCCAAATCGGAAGTGGACCCCACTGATAATTGTACCACAAAATAGCCACTTAATATGCCATTTTATGCCATTTTAAGCTAATTTTTTCCAAGAGTTTTTTCCCAAATTGGTCCCTCGACTATCACTTATTCTCAATTTTACATTTAGACTTTTAATTGCACCTAATGTGGTCCCTTGACTTTTAAAAACTCCCCCAAATTGGTCCTCCGTTAGAAATTCCATCTATTGAGTGTTAAAATGAAGGGCATTTTTGTCCATTGACCTATTATATGCCAAATATACTATGAAAAATAGTCGAGGGACCATTTTGGGAATAGTCGAGGGATCATTTTGAGAAAAACTCATTTATTTATTTCTATTTTTTTAACACTATCAAATTAGAATTTCTATACATTTTTTTTCTTACAAATATAAATAGTTAAAATTCACAATTAAATCTCAAAATTTTAAACGTTCTCTACAATTTTTTTCCTTTTGTCTAAACGTACAAATTTTTCCCCTATCCCTTTCAAGTTTTACAATAAATTTCGTAACATTCATAAATACTCATATAATATATATATATATATATATATATATATATATATATATATATATATATATATATATATATATATATATATATATATATATATAAAATCATATAATCATATAATCATATTAAAACTTCAAAAGACAACCAATCACTATGTATTACATTAAATATTATTTTTATAGTTAAAATAAAATTATTATTTTTTTACATACTTTGGTAAACAAGTTTAAATTTCAAATTTAAGTTTATTAACATTCATATATAAAATACAAACAAACTTCAAAATGACAAGAACTTTAATATTGGTAAATGATGAGACTTTAGGGTTAGAATGGTTTGTTTTGTGCTAATTATTTTTGCATTTGATTTATTTTACTTGTCCTTTAAGACATAAAATTGATAACCATAGTTCTAGACTCTCTTTAACATGATGTAGTACTTCTGGGTAGATAGACATTTAGAAATGGTAGCTATGGTTTGTACTAACTTTGGAATGAAACTAATGGCCTTACAGGCTAAGTTAAGCCAACTTTCCAAAAATATTTTCTAAGATTTTGTCATTGACCGAGAAGTGACGCGTACTTCTCAGTTCGAAGAAGTGCCAGAGCATATCGATTGATTGTAAAAATAATAATTTTATTTTCAAAAGGTATAGTGACCGAGAAGTGAAGAGTACATTTTGATAAAAACAGTAATGTTATTTTCAATGGTAAAAATAATATTTAATATGATACATAGTGATTGATTGTCTATCAGTAGTCACGCAAAAAGTAGCAACGACGCCCTTTGGCGAAGGGTCTTCCAAGCCCTGAGATCGCGGAGTGCTGCGCGCTTCATTAATAGGAGTTATACACTGACTAGAGCAGCGAGGAGCTACAAAAGAAAAGAGCTCACTTTCTCCTCTTTGGGGCGTAGCGGTAGCATTCTCACTCAAGAAGATTTGTCAGGACAGGAAGAGCTAACCCAAAAGACAAAGAGCAACAAAAGAGGTCGGGTCTTTCCCCTGCCCTCTCTCTAATTGTCTATTGAAGTTTTAGTGTGTGTGTGAACATAAAAAGTATATGAGTATTATATTTTTGAAATTTACAGAACTTATTGTAAAACTTGATAGGATTAGAGGAAAAGTTTTTATGTTTAGACAGAAGGAACAAATTTGTATAGAAAGTTTAAAATTTTGAGGTTTGATTGTGGATTTTAACTATTTATATTTGTAAAAAAAGAGCAAATTACACTTTTGGTCCTGTGACTATAGGGGTTGTGTTAATTTGGGTACGTGACTTTTAAAATTAACAATTTAGTCTTTTAACTATCATTTTTTTAGCAGATTTGGTCCTCCCGGCCAAATTGCCGGTGGAATTTGGCCGGAAAGACGTTCGAATTTTTAAATGAAATAGTGGTGGGGGTAATTCGGTTCAATAATTAAAAAGACCGAATTACCCCCACCAATATTTGATTTAAAAAGTCGAACGTCTTTCCGGCTAAATTCCACCGGCAATTTGGCCGGAGGACCAAATCTGCTAAAAAATGATAGTTAAAGGACTAAATTGTTAGTTTTAAAAGTCACGTACCCAAATTAACACACCCTCTATAGTCACAGGACCAAAAGTGTAATTTGCTCTAAAAAAAATGTATAGAAACTCTAATTTGATAGTCTTACAAAAATGGAAATAAACAAAAATGAAATAAATAAATGAGTTTTTCTCAAAATGATCCCTCGACTATTCCCAAAATGGTCCCTTGACTATTTTCAGAGTATATTAGGCATATAATAGGTAAATGGACGAAAATGCCCTTCATTTTAACACTCAATCGACGAAATTTCTAACGGAGGACCAATTTGGAGGAGTTTTTAAAAGTCAAGGGACCACATTGGGTGCAATTAAAAGTCGAAATGCAAAATTGAGAATGAGCAATAGTCGAGGGACCATTTTGGGAAAAAACTCTTTTTTCCAACATAGAGTTACTTTCTTGCAAACTGAATAGAGGACTGACTATTACATATTCTCGATCAGACAGTCATACAGATAGACAGACAGATATTGCGTAATGTGGAAGACTAAGGCAGAAAGTAAATCAACACATATGTTTGTTTACTCAGTTCGATACAATGTGTATCTACATCTGGGGGACGATCACCGATGCGTCCAATCCACTAACTCAGAATCTAATGTACAAAGGTAGACAAGAACAATCTCACCCAAGTGCCCCACACAAGGTCAGTACCCAGTCTACAAAGGTTTAGTGGATTGTTGAAGTCGGAGAGCCACGCATTCAGAAGTCCAATGAAATCCCTTCAATTGGAGAGCTAACTCTGATGCAGTCCGCTTCAATGACACAGTCCCACATTATTCCCACAACTGAGTGATCTTCACGTCCAATCGTTTAAGCAAAGTTGATTCTTCTCAAGTTCATCTTCGTAATCATCATGAACTTATTGTCTTGAGAAGAGGCATAACAACCAGAGATGTGTATATTGTTTAGTATGGAGTGTTACGACTTTTAATCAATCCAACCCTAACTTCTGAACGTATAAGTATATATATACTTCTTGATTTGGACACTCTCCAAATATATCTCTGGTTGTGAAAGGTAGGAATTTTTTGTGAAGAAAGAAATCTTGAGATTCGGTCCATACCTCACAAGATGATTCACTGATATTCTTTCCAAAACATCATCTCATAACCGCGTACCAGCTTTTAGAAACTTTCTTTTATCAGTTATTTGGTGGCTTGATCTAGCGATGTGTCTATTGACTTAACTGATCAATCAGTCTTCTTCAGAGACGGTCAGACACCTAGCTAAATCCTATCTTAATTTGCCATAATAATATTGCCAATTATATGTTGGGGTTTTTTCTTAAATAAATAAAACAACAACAACAACAACAACAACAACAAAAACAATAATAACAACAACAACAACAACAACAACAATAATAATAATAATAATAATAATAATAATAATAATAATTGTTTATAAAAAATAAAAAAATAAAAAAATATAATTAAGCCAATCATATTAACTACTTGGGGGGTTTATTGACAAAAAGAGTATTCAAATCACACAACTAATTGAAGTGTGAAACTACCTCACAATGTCCTTGTTTGGCAATCAACAGGTATATATTTAATATTTTATACCCTAATTTTTATTTGCTCTCCCTTATGTCTCGTATTTGGCTTCTACCATACCTATAGAATTATTTTATTGAAAATTATAATCAATCTTGACTATATTATCTTGCATTTGTAAACTTAGAATTACCTATTTAAATACACAAATTCAACATTCAATTATCTATGCATAAACAATTCCAATATAATTTTGCAATGATATATACTTTAAAATACATATTTAAAAAAACATTGAGCATTATCTCAATCGCGCAATGCGCGTAAAAAACTAGTATATATATATATATATATATATATATATATATATATATATATATATATATATATATATATATTTCGATATGATAATTACAACATTAACTCGAGACTACCAAGCGACAAATAAGGAACTTAATTCACAAGAGAAATAGTAAAATACACTAATATAAGAAAGTAAAGGAACTACTATTTTATTGAGTGATTATTTGAGGACCCGGTCTTTCGTAATAACCACCAATTACATAAGAAAGAGATCGTTTAACCATAACCAAATTTGTAAATTTGTAAATTTTAGATTTTTAGGTACAATAATTATACTTTACCTACATAAACACCACTCTCGGAAAAAAAAAAAAAAAACTCACTATTGACACGATTCGTGAATGTTTCAACTGGCCACCAATTATTATTCAACGTAAAATTCCACCAATATGACATCTATTACTACTTAATAATAATAATCTATCTATACTATATATAAAAACAAAATCCTGAACTTTAACTTTTCGCCCAATTTTTAAAAAAATCTCCTGATAAAAATATATTGTTTTCTACTTTCCTATTCGTACTATAATTCTAGGTTAAAATTCATATTCTAATATTATAAAATAGTGTAATACAATTCCTATTCCTATTATTATATATAAAAACAAAATCCTGAACTTTAACTTCCCGCTCAATTTCTAAAAAAATCTCTCTTTCGGTTAAAAATATATTGTTTTCTACTTTCCTATTCGTACTATAATTCTAGGTTAAAATTCACATTCTAATATTATAAAATACTGTAATACAATTCCTATTCAAATCTATGCTATTTATAAAAAAACAAAATCCTGAACTTTAACTTCCCGTCCAATTCTTAAAAAATATATCTTTCAGATAAAAATATATTGTTTTCTACTTTCATATTCATACTATAATTCTACGTTAAAATTCATATTCTAATATTATAAAATAGTGTAATACAATTCTATTCTAATCTATATCTATCTATCTATACTATATATAAAAACAAAATCCTGAACTTTAACTTCACGCCCAATTCATAAAAAGTCTCTCTTTCAGATAAAAATACGCCCAATTCATAAAAAGTCTCTCTTTCAGATAAAAATATATTGTTTTCTAATTTCCTATCCGTACTATAATTCTAGGTTAAAATTTCTATTCTAATACTAGTATTTTCACCCGTGCGATGCACGGAATGGAATTGTTGCAATATATTAAGAATATTTAAATCGATATATAATTATTTAAGAGTTAATTTCACCAGAGGTCGCTTATCTTTCCTGACAATTCCAAATTTAATATTAGACTATAGTTATTAATTATTACGATTTATTCTATGTTATAATTCTTACGTTAATATTCTTACTATTATTAATAACACTTAATTACTTTTAGATATTATTATTACCACTTATATTATTATTATACTATTATTATTATTAAAAGACTTTCTTTTCAAGTTCTATTAGTATAAAATGGCCGTGAGGCACAATAATAATATAACCATAATTAAATATTCTTGTATTGTATTCAGTGAGTCACAATAATAATATAACAATAATTTAATATTCTTCAATTCTATATTCTTCTAAGATTTCTATTACCATCATTAATTATTTCCTAATTTACCACAATTAAATAATTTGGCCAATTATAAAGAAAGTTTATTAAATAATGCACGTGACAATTTTTTAATTAAAAATTTTAAAAATTCATTAATAAAACATAATATTCTCATAGTGTTTTCTTAGAAACTATTTAATAAAGCATTTTTTTTAGAAATTGGTGGGCCAAACCGCCTACAGCAGTTTGCGGTGGATAGATCTCGAAAAAATACGCGATTTCAAAAAAACATTTGTCCAAAACGGACAACCGAGTCAAAAGTTATGCCTTGCCGAACTTTTGACACTTCACAACTTAAAAAATAAATAAATAAATAATTGCCGGTTCACCCTGCGAAGCGGCCGTGGAAGAGGCCGATTCCGTATTCATCACCGCGGTGCAGTTTTCGCAACACTGATATTTAGTATAGATATAGATATAGTATAGATATAGATTATATAGTATTACACTATTTTATAATATTAGAATAAAACTTTAACACAGAATTATTGTACGAATGGGAATGTAGAAATCAATATATTTTATTAGGAATAGAGATTTTTTAGGAATTGGGCGGAAAGTTAAAATTTAAGGATTGATTGATTACCATAGGAATTGTATTACACTATTTTATAATATTAAAATAGAACTTTAACGCAGAATTATTGTACGACTGGGAAAGTAGAAATCAATATATTTTATTACGAAGAGAGATTTTTTAGGAATTGGGCGGGAAGTTAAAATTGCGGGAAGTTAAAATTTCAGGATTTTGTTTTTATATATAGTATAGATAGATTGATTGATTACAATAGGAATTGTATTACACTATTTTATAATATTAGAATAGAACTTTAACGCAGAATTATTGTACGAATGAGAATGTAGAAATCAATATATTTTATTAGGAAGAGAGATTTTTTAGGAATTGGGCGGGAAGTTAAAATTTCAGGATTTTGTTTTTATATATAATATAGAAATATAGATATAGATTGATTGTTTACAATAGGAGTTGTATTGCACTACTAGTTTTTTACGTGCGTTGCGGGATTGGGATAATGCCCAATGTTTTTTTTTTTTTTTTAATAAGTACTTTAAAGTATATCAAGGTAGGATTATATTAGAATTGGTCATGCATAAATAATTGAATGTTGAATTTGCGTATTTAAATAGGTAATTCTAAGTTTACAAATGCAAGATAATATAGTCAAGATTGATTATAATTGTCAATAAAATAATTGTATAGGTATGGTTGAAACAAAATACGGGACATAAGGGAGAGCAAATAAAAATTAGGGCATAAAATTTTAAATATATACTAATATTGAAAAGCTAATTGTTGATTGTCAAACAAGGACATTGCGAGGTAGTTTTCCACTTCAATTTATTGTGTAATTTAAATACTCTTTTTGTAAATAAATCTCCAAGTAGTTAATATGATTGGCTTAATTATATATTTTTATTTTTTAAAACAATTACTAGTGAAAGGGAAAATTACGAAAATTTTTTTTTTTGCACAATTAGTAAATTTTTCTCTCTCGCTTTTCTTCGCGAGTTGTCTCCTCCCTATCGTTTCTAGGGTTTCCTCAATCATGGAATCTGATAATCACAATGATTTAACGAGTTTGTGTGCGAATTTGACATTGGCTGACGTAGATGATGAGGGGATAGCCATCCGATTGCCAAATGTTCCCATTGCTGAGCCTGAGCGTGAAAGTGAATTCATTGCAGTTGGGAGACTGGTGACGACTAAGTTGGTCAAGTTTGGGTTTTTCCAGGATACAATGGCGGCTATCTGGCAGTCGGCTATGGGCGTAACAATGCGACAAATCCAATCGCAACGGTATCTGATCCGATTTTATCATGAGGCTGACCTGGTTAGAATTCTCAGTGACGGCCCGTGGAGTTTTGAACAATCCCTGCTTATTATGAGGAGGGTTATGCCAGGGGAGGATCCGGAGGTTGTACCTTTAGACCTTGCGGACTTCTGGGTTCAAATCCACTCACTGCCTACTGGCTTGCGATCTGCTGTAGTGGTCTCGGCCATTGGCTCGTTTCTGGGAACACTGGTGATGGTTGATGAACGAAATTTTGATGGCACGATGCGGACTTATTATAGGGTGCGTGTGACGATTGATGCCACGAAGCCTTTGAAAAAACAGATGAAGCTGAAGAAGGATAATGGGGTGTGGGTGTTGGTGGACTTCCGATATGAGAGGCTACCAACGTTTTGCTTTGTCTGTGGTATTATTGGCCATGGGGATAGGGTTTGCCCGAAGATTGTCCAGGGGGTAGACCTAGCGAATGGGAAGCCATATGGGGCATGGCTGCGGGCGGGCGCAAGGAGGACCGTGCCGAGCATAGGGCAGCGTTGGGTGGCACCGGAAGTTGATGCTGAGAGGAAGCTATGGCAGGCGCCGGGTATGATAACTACGCCAGCAGTGGGGGTGAGTTCCGGCAGTAACGTTCCAAGTGCTGTTGTCCCCACGGATCAGGGGGTTGTGGTGGCTGACCCGAAGAGGAGGCGGGTTGATGATGCTGCTCAGATGGATTGTGATGGTGAACTGACAAAAAACGGGACGACGGCGGGTGTTGCAGTGCAAGCCCGCCAGGAGATATGAGTATTTTAAGCTGGAATTGTCGGGGGCTTGGCAACCTTACGGCAATTCGAGTTCTAGCGGATCTTGTCCGCTCAAAGAGGCCGCAAGTGGTTTTTTTAATTGAGACGTTTGCAGATAGTGTGAGGATGGAGACCGTGCGTGTACAGTTGGGGTTTGCGAATTTGTTCTGTGTTGATGCTGATGGTCACAGTGGGGGGTTGGCGATGTTATGGACAAGTATGGTGCAACTACAGGTGACAGGCTATTCTAGTAATCATATTGATACAACGATATCCTTGGATGTAGACGCGCCCATGTGGCATTTTACTGGTTACTATGGGTTCTCGGATACGGGAAGGCGGAGAGAAGCCTGGCAGATGCTGCGCCGGCTAGCGGGGGAAAGTCTTTTGCCATGGGTGATAATGGGTGACTACAATGACCTATTGCACCAGTCTGATAAAAGGGGGCGAGCTCCGCATCCACCTTGGCAGATAAACGGATTTCGGGACGCGGTGGCTGACTGTGGGTTACTGGAGATGCCCTTTGATGGTGTCCAGTTCACTTGGACTCGCTCTCGGGGATTGCTGAACATGGTGGAGGAGAAGCTAGACAGAATCTTTGTCACACCAACATGGCAGGAGATGTTTGATGGAGCTACAGCCACCTCACTGGTATGCCCTTATTCTGATCACCTACCCCTGTTACTGACTCCGGTTGTTGCTGTACAGACCACCAGAAGACGACGTTTCTTGTTTGACAATATGTGGCTTAGGGAGCACCGGTGTCGTGAGATTGTGGCCAAATCGTGGGAAGGATCGAGGGGCCGGGATGTCATGACTAAATTGCAGTGGTGTGGACGTGATATATGGCGTTGGGGTAAGAATTATAACAAAGACTTCCTGAGACGTATCGAAAACTGTAAGGCTACTATGGATGCTCTGCGGGAACGGTATGATAATGAAGGGTTAATGAGGTATGCCAGAGCTGAGAATGAATTGTTGAGGCTGCTGGAGCAGCAACATCTTTTCTGGAAACAACGTGCTAAGGAGCACTGGTATAAGGGGGGGGGGGGGGGGGGGGGGGACCTGAACACCAAATTTTTCCATAACTCTGTGAAAACGAGGAGACGAAGGAACAAGGTTAAGAGGCTAAAGGATGGTACGGGGAACTGGGTTGAGGGTGAGGAAGCCGTGGGTGGTGTGATGCTAGAGTACTTTCAGACTTTGTTTAAAGCAGATGATGGGAACATGCAAGAGGTTATTAGAAATATCGCCTCACGGGTTTCTACTCATGATAACGCAAGAATGTTAAAACCAGTGACTGCAGAGGAGGTCCGTATTGCGGTGTTCCAAATGCACCCGGATAAGTCGCCAGGTCCAGATGGGTTAGGGCCGGGGTTTTTTCAGCAGTACTGGGATATTGTAGGACCGGAGGTTACTTTGTTCTGCCGGGAGTTTGTTGAGACGGCACACTTACCGGAAAGGGCGAGAAACACATATATTGTGCTCATTCCCAAAAAGACAGTCCCGGAGTCGATGGGGGATTTGAGGCCCATTGCGCTTTGTAATGTGGTGTATAAAATCGCGGCAAAAGTGTGCGCGAACCGTATGAAAGTCTTACTGGATGGGCTGATTTCGGGGTCGCAGAGCGCGTTTGTGCCGGGGCGCCTGATAACGGATAATGTTATGTTAGCATACGAGGTCCATCATTACTTGAAACGAAAAACACAGGGGAAGGAGGGGGTGGCCGCGTTGAAGATTGATATGAGTAAGGCGTATGATCGGGTGCAGTGGCGCTTTCTGGAGGCAGTTTTGGTTAAAATGGGGTTTGCCAGGCATTGGGTAAACGTGCTGTTGGAGTCTGTAAGCGCGGTTCGGTACCACATATTATATGAGCAACGGGAGTTGGGCCCGATTGTTCCAAAGTGTGGGTTGAGACAAGGCGATCCACTATCGCCGTATTTGTTTCTGTTCGTTGTGGAGGGCCTTAGTGTGCTGATTGAAGAGGAAATGAGTATGGGCAGATTGCATGGGGCACGGGTTGCAAGAGGGGCTCCCGCGATTTCACATTTGTTGTTCGCGGATGACTGCTTTCTGTTCTTGCGTGCTAATATTCAGGAGAGTGAACGGATGCGCTACATTCTTGACACTTACGCAACAGCGTCAGGGTAACGAATTAATTATGACAAATCTGCCATTTGTTTCAGTGCCAATGTCTCACAGCCGGTTAGGGACGGGGTCGTACAGATCCTAGGGGTCGCGGAGGGCAATACGACTGGCAAGTATTTGGGTCTACCATCACTGGTAGGACGGAAGAAGAGGGAGATACTTGGGTATTTGAAGGAACGGATTTTAACGAGGGTGCGCAGCTGGAACTCTAAATTTCTCTCACGGGCAGGCAGGGAAGTGTTGTTGAAGAATGTCATCCAAGCAATGCCATCATATGCTATGATGGTATTTTTGTTACCACTTAGCTTGTGTAAGGAGATAGAGACTTTAATGAATGAGTATTGGTGGACTGGCTCTGTGGGTTTCGGGAAGGGTATAAGGTGGCGTGCATGGGAAGGATTGGCACAACCCAAGGCAGCTGGGGGGCTGGGGTTCAGGAAACTTCACGAGATGAACCTGGCCCTGCTCGGTAAGCAAGCGTGGCGTCTCGTAACCAGGCCGCAGACGCTGGTAGCACGTGTGTATAAGGCGCGTTATTTCCCAAGATGTGCTTTCTTTGATTCAAAAGAGGGGTCAAACCCGTCTTACATTTGGAGGGGGTTGCTTGCGGTCAAAGATGTGGTGCGGGAGGGGTGCCGTCGAAGTATTGGTAATGGGCTTGACACAACCATAGGGAACCATGCGTGGCTGCCATGTGAGGACAATCCGTTCATCACAACAGCGCTGACTGAGGAGGTAGCTTTGGCCTCGGTTGCATCGCTCCTAAATAATCAAGGTACGGGGTGGGATGTTAATAAGGTTACTAATTTATTTAATGCCCGGGATGTGTCTATGATCATGAATATACCTGTAAGTTTGCGTAAACCTTCAGATTCTTGGTATTGGTACTGGGATCAGAAAGGAGCCTATACCGTTAAGTCATGTTATAAACGTCTGAATGGTGCGGTTGCTGACCAGCGGCCCTGGACACGTATTTGGAATTTAGGTGTGCCACCTAAAGTACGACACTTTGGTTGGCAGCTAGCAAATTCTTTTTTGCCGACCTGTGATGCACTTAATTCTAAGCGGGTGTATTGCTCATTAATGTGTCACGTGTGTAGGATGGAAGACGAGAGTGCAAGACATATGTTTGCTATATGTACAGAGGTGCAAGGTTGTTGGACTAAGCTTGGGATTCCGGTGATGAGCATTGAACATGGTAATACTGCCTCACAATGGTTTTTAAATAATGTTAAGATGCTAACTGGTGACTTGCTAGCAAAATATGTGATGACATGTTGGGGTATTTGGACAAGTAGGAATGAGAATGTTTGGAATGGGATTGTTTTTAATGCTAATGTTATGCTACGTAGGACCATGAATTTTTTGGAAAATTGGGGACAAGCGCAGGAGGGGTCTGAACCGCCGGATGAAATTGTGGTTGTTAATAATACAAGGTGGTTGCCTCCGCCAGTTGGGAAGTTAAAGCTGAATTCGGATGCTACTGTTAATTTGCCGGCCGGTGCAATGGGTTATGGTTGGGTGCTACGGGGGGATGATGGATCATTTTTTGCGGCGAAGAACGTGCGGGTGTCTGGAACGTATAGCATCAAGGAAGCTGAGGCAATGAGTTTACGAGAGGCTTTAAGTTGGTTAAAGAACACGGGCATGGGTGGTGTTGTAGTGGAGATAAATTCACAGCTTGTATATAATGCTATTCTTTCTAGTTCTTTTAATTCTGCTTATGGCTTTCTAGTGGACGATATTAAAGAATTAGCATCGGCAATTGGCGATGTAGAATTCCAATGTGTTAGGCGATTTGCGAACTGTGCCGCCCATGTTGTTGCTAGGGAGGCCTTTTCTGTGGCAGGTTGCGGGGAATGGTTTGATATTCCTCCGGTTTTTCTTGTTAGCTATCTCGCTAATGATTTAATACAATAATCTGTTTTGCTCAAAAAAAAAAAATTTATTATTATTATTATTATTATTATTATTATTATTATTATTAAATATATGTATACCCTTAGGTCATTTTACATTTTAATCTAAAAAGCTAATTTTTTCAAATATTTTTTTACCAACCGTTGATATAATTCACTGGTCAAATCAACTAATATAATCCGCTAACGCTAACCGCTAACTACTGATTGTCAAACAAGGACATTACGAGATAGTTCTCACTTCAATTTGTTGTGTGATTTGAATACTCTCTTTGTCAACAAATTCCTCACGTAGTTAATATGATTGACTTTATTAATTATATTTTTCTTAATTTTTTTCATTGTATTAATAAAATACTTGGTAAATAAATATATAACATTATTTTGTATTATAACTTTGATATTTAATTAAAAAAATAGTGCACAAAAAAGATAATAGACAATGTAGTGAATATAATCAATTGATGAATTTGAATGTAAAGAATTTTTACATTGGAGAAAAATAAAGACAATATAATATAATAAAATTATTTCTCTTAATTAATTTATTGATAATGAATAATTTTTTTTAATAAAGACATTGTAGGGACAATGTAGCGAATATAATCAATTGATGAATTTGAATGTAAAGAATTTTTATATTGGAGAAAAATAAAGACAATATAACTAATGAAATTATTTCTCTTATTTAATTTATTGATAATGAATAATTTTTTTGAATAAAAACATTGTAGATACATAATTCTAAATTAAAGATCGAAATGCATATGTATTATTTTTTGTTGTAACTACTAAATTATTATTTAATTTAATAAAAGTAAAATAGAGTACTAAATATGCCAACTTTGATTGGGATGGGGTTCGAACTTTGAACTTTAAGACCTTTCTTATTGAAATCAATGAATAAGTTAGCGGTCAACTAATAGAACTTAACGGAAAAAATAATATTTAACGAAAAAGTTAACGGATAATCATATTCACTAAGGATAAATTAGTAAATCTTAAGAAAAAATTAAAATCTGATCAATCTGAGCCATTCATTTGATTAAAAAACTTGACCGCCATTTTTTTCTACCCATTATAGGCCTAACTCTCTTGGGCTCTTATTAGTATAGTAGATTTTATAATATTTGAATAGAACTTTAACGCAGAATTATTGTACGAATGGGAAAGTAGAAATCAATATTTTTATTAGGAAGAGAGATTTTTTAGGAATTGGGCAGGAAGTTAAAATTTCAGGATTTTGTTTTTATATATAGTATAGATAGATAGATTGATTGATTACAATAGGAATTGTATTACACTATTTTATAATATTCAAATAGAACTTTAACGCAGAATTATTGTACGACTGGGAAAGTAGAAATCAATATATTTTATTAGGAAGAGAGATTTTTTAGGAATTGGGCGGGAAGTTAAAATTTCAGGATTTTGTTTTTATATATAGCATAGATAGATAGATTGATTACAATAGGAATTGTATTACACTATTTTATAATATTCAAATAGAACTTTAACGCAGAATTATTGTACGACTGGGAAAGTAGAAATCAATATATTTTATTAGGAATAGAGATTTTTTAGGAATTGGGCGGGAAGTAAAAATTTCAGGATTTTGTTTTTATATATAGTATAGATTATAAAATAGTGTAATACAATTCTATTCTAATCTATACTATATATAAAAATAAAATCTTGAACTTTAACTTGCCGCCCAATTCCTAAAAATATATCTTTCTAGTCTTTAGGTTAAAAACTTTGCGAATGCATAACTTTTGACTCCGTTATCCGTTTTGGACAATTTTTTTAAATCGCGTATTTTTTTGAGATCTACCCACCGCAAACAGCCAAAAGAGGTTTGCCCCACCAATTTCTCAAAAAAAAAAATGCTTCTTTTGCTCTTAATTTTAGTTTTTTTATGTATTTAATTAGATGCTTTCAATAATATTTTAAACAATATTATAGCCACTTAAATAAATAGTTTGTAAGAAAAAAGATGAGAACCTTATGTTATTAGTGAATTTTGATAATTTTTAATTTTTATTTTTTTTTACATTTAAAAAAAAAAAACCGGCGCCTACGGATTGCCTAACGTGTTTTGCAACCTTTATATATATATATATATATATATATATATATATATATATATATATATATATATATATATATATATATTGGTCAAGTATAATAAAAACTATATGTAATAATAATAATATAATCCAAACAACACTTCATGCAAAATAAAATTAAAATTAAACAAAAAATAAGAAGAAGACAAAGGGCTCATCTTTGTAAAAATGTGGGATCATTTTGATCCCACATTGACAATATTAGGAGATGAGTTCTTGAGGTCCTATATATAAGAGGAGCAATGCTCATCTTACAAACATAATTGCTTGCCCATCAATGTGGGTAAGTATTAAGATGGCAAAAAACTCTTATTTACGAAGTCTTAGTTTAATGACTTTTTTTTTATTTTAATTTTTTTATTTAAAAAAATTATTATTTATTATTAGGGGGGTTTGGGAAAGATTAACCAAAATGTATATATGTTGTTTTTGTTTTTAGCAGTTTGGAGTAAAATTGTTGAGATATTTTTTGTGTTTTGATTAAAGATAAAATGTTAAAATGACGAATTTGTCAATAATCAAACAAGGCCATTATCTAATAATTATTATGCAGTTTAACAAATTAATTATATAAAGATAAAAGTTCGTTTGGAAAGTAGGAAATAATTTATGAAAATGAGTTATTTTTCATAAAATATTTTTCTCGCACAGCAAAAAATTGTCTAAAAGAAATTTATATTATTATTGTTATTGTTACGTAATAATGTAATAATAAATAAAATTACAACAACAACAACAACAACAACAACAATAATAATAATAATAATAATAATAATAATAATAATAATAATAATAATAAGCAAAACAAAACTATATATAAAATAAAATTAAAAAAAAAAAAAAAACAAAGCGGAACCACAAGCTCTCCTTTGTAAATGATGTGGGATCATTTTGATCTCACACGGAATTTTTTTTGGAAAGAGGAGCTCTGAGCAATGCTCATATTCCAAACATAATTGCTTGCCCATCAACCTGGGTAAGTATTGAGAAGCCAAAAGACTCTTATTTAAGAAGTCTTAGCTTATTAATGGCTTATTATTTTGGTTTTTCTTTTAAGAAAACATTTTACAAATAATGATAAATAAAATCTTCAAAGTTATAGCACCACATGTGTACATCTAGACATTAGCTATTAATTTGAGCAATTATTTGCACAAATTCAAGCAATGATAACATCAAAATACATAAACGATCCAAACCATATATTTAATTGCACTATATAATATTTGATGTTCTAATTTAAATAATTATATATCTATTCAAATATTCTTAATATATTACAACAAATCTATTCCGTGTTAAAATACTAGTAATAATAATAATAATAATAATAATAATAATAATAATAATAATAATAATAATAATAATAATAATAAACACCTTACTAAATGTATCAAAGATCATAATTTCAAAATTATTACCAATCAAACAATATTTAGTTCTAAAAGAAGTAATATTATATTTACTTTACTTTTTGTACATACTCTTTATTACCGTGACAAGTTTTTATCAATAAAAAATAGATAATAATTTTTGTTAATAAATTAAAATATGCGTATTTTTAAAAATAGTACAGAGAGCTATCTATCTTGACAATTTTCACAAACAGTTTTTTTTTTATAATTTTTTTTTAATAATTTATTTGCATATGTTTGCAAGTATTACAAATTAGATCTTGTTATTATTATATTTTCAAAATGAATTAAAATTATATAAATATATAAATATAATAATAAATTATAAATATGGTTATGTAAGAATAGAGTTCGGTTTTAAAAGAAAAAAAATATTATACTGACGGAAGAGTGTACCTGTTGCTATGTGTGTAGCACGAGTCGCACGACTTAATAATTTTATTAAAGTGCTTTCAATTTTTTTTTTTATTTTTTATTATTAAAGTCAAGAAGAAGTGATTTCGGCTTTTCCCAAAAAGCCAGGGGTCCATAACTTTATCTACTTTATCAGCCATCATTGGTACAACTTGGGTAGCACAGAGTACAACTCCCGTGCATTCACACTAATCCACCTCCGCTGTATATATCCACCGTATCACCATCTCCGATTCAATCAACTTTCGTAGTTTACCTCTCTTCGTCTTTCTCTCGCACTGAAGCAGAAATATGGCTGTGCCGACGGTGACTATGGAGGTCGGGAACGACGCCGTTGCTGTGATCACCATCTCCAATCCTCCCGTCAACGCGTTAGCCGTTCCGAGTAAGTCACTGATGTGTTTCTGTATCTGGCGAGTGTGCGTATGCGCTGGATTTGGATAGATGAAACTAAACTGTGAAATTTGATTGTGTTGTAGTAATTCAAGGCTTGAAGGAGAAGTTCACGGAGGCTGCCAGGAGAAACGATGTTAAAGCTATTGTTTTGACTGGTGAATTCTTAGTTCCTAATTTTTTTTTTTTTTTTTGGTTCAGTTAATTCATGTGTATGCATTCGGATGGTCAACTGAATGTATTATCTATGTTTTTGTTTGATCAATTATTTATTTATTTTAAAATTTCAGGTTGTGCAAACTGTGCATTACTTTTTAGATTCTTAAGTAGCTGAAATTCGGTCCAAATTTACCAAAAAAATGTCTGTCCCAAGCTCCCAGCATAGTGGGAAACTACTCACCAGTCTTTTCCTTAATAATAGATGGACTGATGGGAGCGGTAGTTTATCATGTGACTGCACCTGGAGTTTACTACTGCATCATTATTAACAGGAAAAAGACCAATGAATATTAATCTATGTACTTTAACTTGTAATCTTTCTTCAAGCTGCAAATTTTCTTTCCCAAGTTTTATTGCTTCCTAATGTCTGATTCATTATATGATTGCGAGGTATATTCCTATACAATTTTTAGTTTTATTCTCCCCTTGCAGAGGGAAGTGATTGGATTTGGCATTCTCTAAATAATTTATTTTGCATTTTTTTCCCAGGGAGTGGGGGGAGATTCTCTGGTGGTTTTGACATCAATGTTTTTGAACAAGTTCACAAGAATGGTATAGTCCCCTCCCTCCTCTTTTTATGTTATTCTGTTGGTGTCTTTGGTATGGTGTTATTTCAAGTTTGTGGATCATTTTTAATGAGAACCAATTGAATTTTATGGCCTCAGGGGATATTTCTGTACTACCAGATGTTTCTGTTGAACTTGTAGTCAACCTGATTGAAGGTGTGTGGCTTGTTTCATAATTTTATCTAGGTTTAGATATTGTCTGATGTCTCTCTGGGAAGTCTTCCTGTACTGGAATTCTTGTGTATTTTGATTATTTGTGGCATCACCATTTAAAATCTTACTCTTAGCTATGTCATTTTAGATGGCAAAAAGCCTGCTGTTGCTGCGATACAAGGACTCGCACTTGGAGGTGGCTTAGAATTGGCATTGGTGTGTTGTTTAATAAGTCTTTCATACTTGAGTAATATGTTAATATTTGACTGTGTATACCAGCATAAGTATTTTCCTGGTGCATTATTTTCTTTCTTTATTAGGGATGCCATGCTCGCATTTCTGCACCAAAAGCCCAACTTGGATTGCCAGAACTTACCCTCGGGGTTATACCTGGCTTTGGAGGTACAGCTACTTGATGTATGTTTTAATTTCTTGAAATATTCAAGTTCATCTTGATATATTTTTAAACTAGTGATTTGAGTGTTTGATATCCTTTTCAAGGTACACAACGTCTTCCAAGGCTTGTGGGATTGCAGAAAGGTGTTGAAATGATGCTGGTAAGTATTCTGACAAACATTATGAATGATGAAATTTGTATGGCAAATGTGCCGGTGGTGGACGAGAGACATATAAAAGAGTAAAAAACAATGATTTTGTCTTAACATTGATTGGGATTCTACACTGTTGATTTGCAGACATCTAAACCCATATTGTCTGAAGAAGGGAAGAAATTAGGTCTTATTGATGCAATTGTGTCCCCAGCAGAATTGATTAAAGTGTCACGGCAGTGGGCACTGGATATTGCAGAAAGGCACAAACCTTGGATGCGATCCCTTCATAGGACTGACAAACTATGTTCCCTTTCAGAAGCACGGGATATTCTGAAGGTTGCTAGACAACAAGCAAAGCAGACAGCTCCCAATATGCCTCAACATCTGGTTTGCCTTGATGTGATTGAAGAAGGCATTGTTCATGGAGGATACAGTGGAGTTCTAAAGGTACCCTTTTTTGGCTCTTTCTTGCTCCAACCCAACCGTTTCTGAATAATGAGGAGTAAAGCAAGTTTTTAATTTTTTTATTTTTTTTTTACAGGAAGCTAGAGATTTCAAACAGCTTGTATTGTCAGATACTTCAAGAGGTCTTGTTCACATATTTTTTGCACAAAGGGCAACATCAAAGGTAATCTAGATCTTTATCAACAACCTTTGTGCATCATTGGCAGCACAGAGCCACATTTAAATCAGAAACCTTTCTTTTACTAGGGAAAGTTAAAGATTATCACTCTATGGATATATCTTTAATTTTTCTTGCAAGATGTGCCTGAGTCTTACCATCTTTGCTGTCTTCTGTGTTAAGATTGTTGAAAAAACAAAGGGATGTGTCTGTTTATGAATAGGTGTTTAAATTTTAAATTAATAGTTATGTGTATGTACTATGTTTCTTCATTAGAAACATAGAATCCTATTAATAAATATATTGTAATGTTTCAGTCTTATATACATTTTCTCATTCCTTGATTCTTCATCTTTGCTTCCGCCTAACTGGTGGGTGGTTGTTATTCTCACCCGCCAGGCCTTTAGATCTTTCAAATTCAATAAAGATGTTTACAGTTTTGATTCTCTTGGTCTTTGTTCTTCTCCTACTCTCTAGATCAAAGACATCAAAGACATATATATATATATATATATATAAGTTGAAACTTTTTAAGATATTGCTAGACACTTCTATCTATCTGGGTGAGGTTACCAGAATACCAGCTTCTTATCTTAAGAGGTCCCGAGCTTATGAATTTGGGAAATCTCCAACCAGGAATAGTTTATTGAATACCCTAAGTTCACTTCCCAATCAGAGAGAAATATTTACTTGCCTGTTCTCAAGGGGGCACGTCTTGAGATGTAAGATTATTGGACGTTCTTGAGGATTTTGATTTCTTGTACTGTTTGTTGTGGTTGTCTGAATTGCTTTATTTAAAAAAAAAAAAGAAGTTTCCCCATGTCCACTAGTGCATGAAAAGTTTGTTCCCTTGGGCCCTAAATAATTGTGTATGGATTAGTCACTGGTCTAGATTCATTTTCTACTGTTATTTCATCATGATGATATGGAATGATTGTAAATCATCCTACTCTCTGTTTCGTTTGTGATGCTATACCAGTACTTATGTTCCATGTTTTGATGCAATAGGTGCCCAATGTCACGGATGTTGGTCTCAAACCAAGGCCAATAAAGAAGGTTGCTGTAATTGGTGGAGGTCTAATGGGTTCTGGCATAGCTACAGCTCTCATTCTGAGCAACACATATGTTCTCCTCAAGGAAATTAGCGCTGAATATCTTCATAAAGGGATAAAATCCATAGAAGGTAATTGATATAAATAATATAATATATAGTGTTAAGGATATATTGTAGAAATTGACTACTCACTACTTAAATTTTTTGAGGATGTCATTGGAAAAATTATGCCTGCTTGTCTTTTAGAATATATTTATTTTGTGTGTCCTTAATGCGGCAGAAAATATTCGTATCCTGGTATCAAGGAAAAAGTTGGCTCAGGATAAAGCAGAAAAAGCACTCTCATTGCTTAAAGGTGTATTGGATTACGCAGAATTTAAGGATGTGGACATGGTTATAGAGGTACTTGGTTGAACATCCATTTTTATTTTATATTGGCAAAGATGTGTTGGTTGGTATATGTTTAGTATCTTCTTATAATATTTAATTTTTATACGAGTTGCAAATAGATCTTCACCAGCGCTGTCATTTCCATTTTTCCATTATCTGTTTTTATTCGGTCTTTAATACCCTTTCTTTCCTTGATATACTTGTGGCCTAGCCCAAATCAATTCTTCTCAGCATTTATGTTTTACACATTATGCTGTTATATCATGTATTTAAGTCACCTTTGGATTGCAGGCTGTGATTGAAAATGTTCCTCTAAAACAAAAAATTTTCAGCGATATTGAGAAGGCATGTCCTCCTCATTGTATACTGGCATCTAACACATCTACTATAGACCTTAACATTATTGGTGAGAAGACCAGATCTCAAGATAGGATCATAGGCGCTCATTTTTTCAGGTTTACTTTTATCCTAAATTTTTTTATTCGCATTATGTGTGTGTGTTTGTGTATTATCTTTTAATAAGATAATAAACTTTGTTTCTTATACATTATTAATTATTAATGATGTTTTGCCTATCTGCCTTCTATTTCAATTCTATTATGTTCAGCCCTGCTCATGTGATGCCACTGCTGGAGATTGTACGGACAGAGAAGACTTCAGCTCAAACAATCATTGACCTTATTGCTGTTGGGAAAGCAATAAAGAAAGTACCTGTTGTGGTGGGGAATTGTACCGGCTTTGCTGTAAACAGGACCTTCTTCCCATATTCCCAGGGAGCACATTTTCTGGTCCACCTTGGAGTTGATGCTTTCAGGATTGATGCCCAAATTACAAAATTTGGCCTCCCTATGGGTCCATTCCAGTAATTTTCTTTCCTTCATATACACAGCTATCATTCTCTTTGTGTGCGAGCACATTAAACAAAATTCATATGATCATTTTCTGAAACAAAAAACATTTGTTTTTTAATTAATATATATGCAAACATTAGTGACTGTACTAAGTTATTCAAGTGCTTTACATGCTCATTTTATTGGAATGATGATAAGGAGAGTACTATTAGTGGACCTGGTTGAATGAACTCCAATGAAATTATTTTTTGCAGGCTCCAAGATTTAGCAGGATATGGGGTAGCTGTTGCTGTAGGAAAAGAATTTGGTGCTGCTTTTTCTGACCGTGTATTCAAATCTCCCTTGGTTGATCTCCTCATTAAAAGTGGTCGAAATGGTAACAGTTCACCTTGTTTCCTGTGTGTTGTTTATTGGGATTATACTACTGTTAGACTGTTAGTTTCCACTTTGACACTGGTTTTTGCAGGAAAAAATAATGGAAAAGGATACTACATTTATCAGAAGGGAACTAAACCAAAACCTGATCCTTCTGTGCTTCCAATCATAGAGGAGTCTAGAAGGCTGATAAATATTATGCCTGGTGGGAAGGTACGACTTCCAAGGAAATGCAGTCTAAACTTTTCACTTTTCTTTTTTATTGCTCCAGAATAGATATTCAATGATTCATGCTCTATTTTGAACTTGTATAGTTGTATACGTGGTTCACATTGAGTCATTGACTAACGTCTTAAATTTATGTCCAGCCAATATCTGTGACTGACCAAGAAATTGTTGAGATGGTTCTCTTTCCAGTGGTGAATGAGGCTTGCCGTGTTCTTGATGAAGGGATAGTCGTCCGAGCATCAGATCTTGATGTTGCATCTGTTCTTGGAATGAGCTTCCCTTCTTACAGGTTTGTCTTCTCTCATTGTTCTTTAAAATCTGCTCAAGTATGCTATCGTCGTCCATTGTCAAATTCAAGCAGTCTTATTTGAAAGATTTATGATATTTACTAAAGGAGCCAAAAACATCAAGAACACAACCGTGAAGTAGAAGCATAGTATATCACACTAATGCTATTCACTATAATAAACTAGACAAACAGACTTTTTTTGTATTGTACTGCAAAGATAGGCCATCACAGTGCGGGATAAAAAAAGAGTTAAAAATATTTGAATTGGAATTTTATGGAATCATGACAGGTAATCAAAGATAAAATTGATTTCCATCTTGTTTACACGGCAACGCTATATATCAATGGTTTATCTTTCTGAATCCAAGTGTGGTGATTTTGTAAAGAATGTTGATGAATATCATTTTGTTTTGAGTTTTTGACAGAGGGGGGATTGTGTTCTGGGCGGATACTGTGGGGGCTGCCCACATATATAAAAGCCTTAAGAAGTGGTCAGAATTATATGGCAACTTTTACAAGCCCTCGAGTTTCTTGGAAGAAAGAGCACTCAAAGGCATTCCATTGGTAAGAATAATATTGCCAGTCTGATCTATTCAACCACCAGAGAAATGCTCTATTCTATTATTCATTTCAGACTAATATAACCATATATATTCTCGGAATTCACTAACAAAGTTATCTCTATTTCAATAATTCCGGGTAATACCCATATTGTCAACTGTGAATCTTGACAATTTGGTAAACAGAAAGATGAATCTGCTGTTTCTTCAAGGTCATTATGCAAGCTTTTTCTCTAAACCGTCAATTTCTTCTAATGCAGAGTGCTCCTGTATCAGCCTCTTCAGCGTCAAGATCGCGAATGTAACCTGTACGTGTGATTATGGCAGAAAAAATACAGACCACTTGAGTATTTGGCAGCCAAATAAACTTGTGTTGCGTTACTAGTGTAAAAGAGATGATACAGTACATTTTTGAGTTTAGTAATTGAATAACTAATAATTTATGATATTTAAACATATTTTGTCAGTTAATAAAGAGTGGTTTTTTTTTTTTTTTTTTTTTTTAAATGTTGGTGGTGCGGTGTGGTAGAGGTAGTGGTGGTGATAGTTGTGGTGGAGGTGATGGTGTAATGGTGGTGGTGGTAATAATAATCTAAAAATTAACTTAAAAAAAGAAGAGAGTGAAGATAGAGATGAGAAATTAAAGATTCGGAAAATGTGTTTTGACTAAAAATTAAGAAGACATTTTCGATCAAATTGTGCATTTTTCTGTTGACCAAAATAAATATTTTCCTTTTAACTTTATTTTTCTAGATTAGAATACTCGACATAGAAAAATCTAAAAATGACTCTCGAAAATCATTTTTTGAGTTTCTAAACAACCCTAAACTTATGAATATTTTATATTTATATATCTACAAATCTAATAAGAGTCAATAAAGTTCGACCCTTAACGGAAACAAAAAAAAAAAGTTGGATGTAATTGTTGATTGAAATGAATGGTTCATATTATTTTGATTTTAGTATTTTTTAAAAATTATTTTTTCTTATTTACCCTCTATTATATTAATTTCTTTCCTTAAATAGCCTCGCATTCCGTTAGTATAAACTTTAGTGACGAAATATTCTGTTAACTATTTATTATTCTTAACTTACTCATAAATTTCTATAAGAAAGGTCTTAGGTTCAAACTCATCCCAATCATAGTTGGCATAATTGTTAAACATATATTACGAATATATTAAAATGTATTAAACATACAATATGAAATTTAATATAAACTACACCTGGACTCTAAAATGGTAGGACTATTTTTCAAAGAATTGACAACGTTGACATCCCACTGGCTCCAATTGAACAAGTTTACACATCATTCTCAGAATTTTATCAATGCATGAAAACTTCTAAAGAAATTTGTAGGTTAATTTTTACTATATCATTATAACAATATCTATTTTAACTATATATTTCGAATGATTTATTATCATCCTCTATTGACAGCAATTGTAGCAATTGTCAACAAACTCCCAAAACAATTTGTCTCAACAACGAATTGAAATAAAAAAAAAAATCAATGACTTCATTGTTGTGGATGAAAAGTAAGTACCACACTTTATTACTCTTATTAAATTAACTAAATTAGTAGCTACGATAAAAAACTAATACATATGCATTTAATTAATTTAGAATTAGATCTCTATAATGTCTTTATTCAAAAAAAAAATTATTCATTATAAAAAAGATTAAAAAAGAAATAAATTCATTAATTAATTATGTTCACAACATTGTCCATTGTATATTTAGTTATTTACACTATCTTGTAATTAAATATCAAAGTTAATAATACAAAATATGCTATATATTTATAGTTTTTGACACTTTTGATTTCACGAGTATTGTGGCACTAACATAATTGATCCACGACTTTCAAACCTTGCAGACTTAATCCAGGACTATCATTTTTTTTTTTTAGCACAAATGGTCCTTTCAGCTAAATTTCTGTCAATTTGTGACCGAAAAAATATTTTTATTCTTTATAACAGGGTTGAGCCGTTGACTAGTTGATAATATTAGCTGATTGTCTAAATATTAAATCTTACATAATATTTTTATATTACTAAATAAGATATATATATATATATATATATATATATATATATATATATATATATATATATATATATATACTAGTCTTTCTTATGCGCGATGCGTAAAAACATATGCCCAATATTTATATTTTTAAAAATAACTAACAAATTTTTACTAATTAAAATCAAAGTGAAATAAAAATATTTATTATATTAATCTAATATATAATGAATATATAATGTTTTACAAATATTTTGTTATAATTAAATAATATAAGAAAAGATATGGTAGATGCATGTGCATGGTAAGTAACGGAAAAGATAACGGAAGTTATAACGGTAAGGGTATTTTTATCCAAAAAATTGTATAGTACAACTCTAGAAGCACAATGTACAAAATAGCTAGCATTAAAAATATGGACATAAATGAGGGATATAACTTTTATTGAGACTTATTATGTTTTTAGATATATATATATATATATATATATATATATATATATATATATATATATATATATATATAGACTCAATTAACATTGCTAAGAGATTAGAGTTTCTCTAATTTTCTCTTGTTTTTTTTTTTTAATTTTTTACCGCTCAATTTTTACACGGTCGTCGCCTCCGTGAAGGAAGCGGATCGGAGGCGACGTCCGATCATCTTCCCCACAACCATCTCCATCGCAGCGTCCGCCTTCATTGTTTTCTCTACCTTCACCTTCTTCTCTTCCATTTTCTGCCTTCGCCACCGGTTACGCTTTGCCCCACCCCTCCATCTCCACTGCTACCGGTTGTTACTCCCTTATTTTTGCATTGTTGTTTCCCTTTGCTTTGTTTTTCTAGTTTAATTTTGTTTATAGTTTCTGTGTTTTTCCTCTCGTTTACTTGGCGAGTTCTTTTTCATAAAGCGTGAAACTATAAAATCGAGTTAATACGCAAAATTGTCCTCGACTATAGTGGTTTTTCTCAATTTTGTCCTAAACGACTTTGGTGACTTAGTGTTGTCCCAGAGTTTTGTGTTTTTACTCAATTTAGTCCTAGACTTTTGTGTTTTTGCTCAATTTAGTCTCTCATTTGTTAATCCGTCTACTTGTTGTTAAATAAATAGGCAATTCAGTAATTTTAATATTGACATCTCTTTACTCATAGACATGTGAAACGTGAAATCCATTTTTTTTAAAACGAATTACTCTCAGAATCACTCCTAAACCTACGAACATAAAATTTGATTCGTTGGCCTGAGAGTAATTCTGAGTGTAATTCGTACAAGAAAGAAGGATTTCTCACTTCGCAGGTTGAAAGTAAAGAGATGTCAATATTGATATTATTGAATTGTCTCTTTATTTAACACTAATTTGACGGAATATCAAACGGAGGACTATATTGAGCGAAACACAAAAGTCTGAGACTATATTAGGTCACCAAAGTCGTTTAGGACGAAATTGAGAAAAACCACTATAGTCGAGGACAAATTTGGGTATTAACTCCTATAAAATTGGTCATGCCATATGTGAATCTCATCGTGGGTGACAAACATGACAATGGAAAAGAGACCCCTCTGAACTATGATATGCGGTTAAGCCCGATGGAGATATTGTCAATGGATAGCAGAATGGAAATAGATACTCAGGTGGTGTGCAGGACTATTCAACGAGTGTCAGTCTTGGCTACGTTTGACCAAATCATTAAAGAAGCTTTAAGTTTCTCCAAAGAATTCAGCTTCAAATTTGTTAAACAGCTTGCGAATCAAGTTTTCTGTAGCATTGCTAGAGAGGTTGTTTCTATGTCTGAGTGTAAGGAATGTTTGACCATTCCATTGATCTTTGTTGCAAACGTTTCAGCCTATGATTAATGAATTAGCTTCTTTATTTTCAAAAAAAAAAAAGAAAAAGAAAAAGATATATAATAGACATATACATAGGAAGTGATTGGTAAATAGCTGTTAGCTGATGGGGTTAGTAGATTTGACTAGTGGATAGTATTAGCTGGTTGTAGAAAGATGTTTGGTAAATTAATTGATAGCTGATTACATGCAAAATGATTTTCTCCAAAAGCTGATTGAAAAAACTGCTTTGAGCAAAATAAGCTATTACAAAAAGATAATTTTTGGATTAGACCACGAGGTGTCTTGGAGCATAAGCTGTTACAAAAAGATAATTTTTGGATTAGACCGAGGTGTTTTAAGCAGACCCTAACTGTAGGAAGATGCACCTTTAAACTCATACCATTCTTAGAATGATTCGTTTTTCCATACAAGAGGGGCTTCAAATTCCCGACCTCTTTTAAAGGACAAGAGTGCACGGTCACTCACACCAACCAAGCTGGTTAAAAAGATAATTAATCAAACACTTATATTAGCGGTTTAAACTAACAATGTTATCAAACAGGGCCTTACACTCACATCAAATTTAGCTCTTACAAATTGGGATCTGGTGTAGTCGCTTAGCTAGCATATTGTCCTATTACTCAACACACTCTTAAATAGTGATTATGAGTTTCTCTTGTCACCAAATGAAAATCACAAACACAATTGGGAAGAGTTGAAATTGGATTTCATGTTTAAGAGGATAAGTTAAAGTAATTAAATTGTATGAGAGATGAAACTAAGGAAAATGTAGACTGTAGAGTAGAGATTCACAACCAAAAAATTATATTTGTTATAGAAATTTCATACTCCGTATTAAATATAAGCAGCAGCATAACTGTGACTTCTCAAATGAGAGGTCTGATCGAGCGGCATAACTATAACTTCTTAAATGAGAAGTTTCAGGTTCAAACTTGATGTATAATATTAACGCTTTATGCTTCAGTACTTAAAAGATATGCACACCTGTAAACAATATAACTTATTAAATATTCTTCGTGGAACTTTTCATGAATTTTACCAAAAAAAAAAAGCAAAAACCTCCCACCTCAGCATATAATCCTGCATGCATGGCATTATTATTATTATTATTATTATTATTATTATTATTATTATTATTATTATTATTATTATTATTATTATTATTTCACAAGTGATGTCAACTAATCAAATTAGTTTAAAATTGTAGTCATTAAGTAATTAACGAGTTACTTGATGTTTTTAATTATAAAATTTTAAATGAGTTTGATGGTTCAATTAAAACTTTTTAATGTACAAGTGTTAAATTGCACAATTTCATATATTTCGAAGACTTATTTGCTTTTTGATTTTTTTTTTGAGAAAATAGCACTTTTTCTTCCTGAGTTATATACTTATAGTACTTTTCCCTCATGAATTATTTAAGTGGCTGGTTTTCCTCTTGAAATGTTAAATGGACATATTTACCCTTAAAATAAATATTTTATTTATTTTTCTTCACCAACAAATTATGATCACAATTTGGTTCAAACCAAACGGACACTATAGCAACCAACCCGAAATATTCCAATTACAATTTAGAATCAAAACCCAATATTTAGAGTTTATTAAAATCGCAAATCGAAACGGCCGGTTCATGTTCCGAATTGAAAAAAATAAAATATATTTTTTTGTTGAATTTAGACTATTTTAAAATAAAAAATAAAATTTTAAAATAAAGATGGTTCAAAATTGCGAACTGGATCTGAAACTGCCGGTTCACGGTTTAGGATCCAGTTTTTTCGATTCATAATTTTAATAAACTGAAATCCAAATATTGGGTTCTGGATCTGAATCATAACCGAAAACTTTTTATTCGATTGCTATAGTGTTCGATTAAGTTCGAACCAAACCGTGGTCATCCCCACGTATACGCAATAATTTGTTGGAGAGAAAAAATAAATAAAATGTTTATTTTAAGGGTAGAAATGCCAATTTAATTTATCAATGGGGAAACCAATACTTTTAGAATAATTGAGGGGGCTGATATGCTTACCTGAATAATTTAGAAGACAAAAATGCTATATATATATAACTCATGAGAAAAAAGTGCAATTTTTCCCTTTTTTTATAAGATATTCTTTAATTATAAGTATGGACATTACCATAGTCTGGGTGTGCTAGTGTATTTGCAATTTGCACTAGCTATAAAAACATGGGAAAATGACACTTTTTTCTCCTGAATTATATATTTATAGCACTTTTCACCCCTCAATTATTTAGGTAAGCACATTACCTCCTTAATTATTCTAAAAGTGGCAATTTTTCCCCTTGATATATTAAATTGACATTTTTACCCCTAAAGTAAACATTTTATTTATTTTACTTCTCCAACAAATTATTACGTATACATAGGGATGACCACGGTTCGGTTCGAATTAAACCGGACACTATAGTAATCGAATTAAAAGTTTCCGGTTATGATTCAGATCTAGAACCCAATATTTGGATTTCAATTTATTAAAATTATGAATCAAAAAAATTAGATCCTGAACCGTTAACCGGCAGTTCCGGATCCGGTTCGCGATTTTGAACTGTCTTTATTTTAAAATTTCATTTTTATTTTAAAAATAGTCTAAATTCAACAATAAATGTATTTTTTTTAGTTCGAACATGAACCGTCCATTCCGGTTCACGATTTTAATAAATTCTAAATATCGAGTTTCGATTCTAAATTGTAATTGAAATATTTCGGTTTAGGTGCTATAGTGTTTGTTCGGTTTGAACCAAATTGTAGTCATAATTTGTTGAAGAAGAAAAATAAATGAAATATTTATTTTAAATATTTATTTTAAGGGTAAATATGTCTATTTAACATTTTAAGGGGGAAAACAGCCACTTAAATAATTGAGGGGTGAAAAGTGCTATAAGTATATAACTCAGGGAGAAAAAGTGTCATTTTCCCTAAAAACATTATGAAATCAAATATAGTAGGTATACTATAATTTTAGTGAAAGAATGCATTTCAATTTTTTTTTTATTTATTTATTTAACGAGTAGTTATATTGAGACATAAATTTAAAAAGGTTCGATAATGTTTTATTTAGATATAAGTTGATTTAAATTCTTGGATATGTGAAGATTAAGTTTGTATATTTACAGGGACGGAGCCAGAAATTCGATTGAGAGGGGGGGGGGGGGGAGGGGGGCGAAACAGTACAGATGGATTCAGAAATTTTTTTCAGAAAAGACGAAACATTAAAACAAAAAAGATAATTTAAAAATAAATAAATAAACTACCTAAGAAATATAGTTGTAAATATTGTTGGATATGAACGAAAAATAAAACATATCGAAACTTTATAAAAATATTTATAACAAAATATGAAACATAATTAATAAAATAATTTGAATAGAAAACACATTATAAATTACATATCTTATTAAAGAGAGTGTGTGTGTAATATTAAAAAAATTCACATATTAAAAAGAATTGTAAAAATATGTTGATGCTAAGATTGGAACCCTTAACCTCGTTATATTACCAAATATGTGCTCTACCACATACTCTAACTCACTTCTTGTTAACATTTTATAATTTTTTATACTAATACTAAAACATGTACTATCTATACATATATATATATACAAATACTATATATGGGATGGGGGTGGGGTGAGGGGGGCAGCCACCCCCCCTGCCCCCCCTCTCCCTCCGTCCCTGTATATTTACATGTTCAAAATAATGAGAAGGTTGATGAACAAGTAATTCTCAAGTGTAAATGAAAAAATGAATGTAAAAATAATTTTTTCCCACATCGAAATATTATTTGACAGTAAACTTATTTATAAGGAACTAAAGACAACAAGAGAAAACCGAGTGGCTTGTAGTCCACTGGTATTGGGTTGCTCTTCTAAGTGGAAGGTTTAAGGTTCGAATCTTAGTTGAGGCAATAGTGTGTAGAGTAACCCCTTTTACTTATAATAAAAACAAAAAAAAAAAAAGCCACCCGAAGAACCAAAAAAAAAAGACACCCGAAGAACCTGTCTTAATCTACTAAATGATCCCTCCGAAAAACCTGTCTTAATCTACGATGTTGACTATAACCACTAAATGATCCCTCCGAAAAACCTGTCGACTATAACCTGTCTTAATCTACGATGTTGACTATAACCTGTCTTAATCACCCGGGCGTCGCCTGTTGACTTCCCCTATATATACACCCAATCCCTACCATTCCTTTCTTACAATCCAGAAAAATCCTATGGCAGTCTTCAACTTTAAACCAATTCTCTTCATCCTTACTAACATCCTGAAATCTTTCCTAGCTTCGACAATGGAAGAATGGGATCCATTCCATGTATTCCAAAATTTTACACCTATGAAATTTGGACTTCTACTCTTCTTACTCTTCACATTTTCTTTTATCTCTTTTACAATTCACTTTACTCGTCCTCTTAAGTTTAAAGTTCAAACTCAACGTTTTTCAGCCATCTCTATAATTTCCATTCTTGTATTGATCATTTTCCCTCAAATACTATTCTGGTTCATATATCCCAACATTTTGCTTTTCTCTTTCTATCCTAATTTGTTTACTGGGTTTAAAAATTTGGTATACCTTAATCTTTTGAAACATCCAGCTCTCATCATTAGCATCACAACAACATACAATGGTGAAAGTAACATTGAATTTCGCCCTGCAACAGTTGATACCATAACAGCCGATATTAGTGAAGATGTAACCACTGCAACCGTTGATATCACAGCAGTCGATATTAATGAAGATATAAGCACTACAACAGTTGATACCACAACAACCGATATTAATGAAGATGTAATCATTGTGTGTGATAATAATGTGTAAGTACATACATGGTCTTTTTTCATATTATGTATGACTATTGATATAGTTTATACTAAGTTAGCATTCCACTATGTAATTTGCAAAATTCATTCGTAATGTTTATTTGGAATTTTGTATGATTATATTGATTGAAATAAAGTGAGTTAATAATATGTATTGTACGGTCTTTTGAGTTGGAAGAATGAATTTGTGGCATTTAATACTCAACTTTAAAATGATTATTTCTGTTCGTTTTCTCCATTATAACATCTCATCTCATATCTCGCAAGAAAAGCTCAGTGAAAAAAATCTTAGCAACGAGGGCTTTGTTTTCGTCTCAAAAATCAAAATAGGCACGTAGCAGCATGCCCATTTTGAGAAATTTACAGATTTCAAAATTTTGAAAGCTGTGGATATATAATTTGTAGATGTGAAATATGAAAAGAAGTTGCAGAGGCAATTCAAAAGGGGATCTGTCTACTGTCTAGGCAGCTCTGCTTTTTACTCCTCTCCTATGCTTTGATTAACTATAAATTTTCCGTTTTGTCACCGTCACCGCCGACTGCCTTCTTCAGATCTGAAGAAGGCAACGGTCGCCTTCCTCTAATCTGAAGACCAATCACGTTGGTGTTCTTCTATCTGATCTGGTGGAAGAACATACAGAGTCTTATATATCTCCTTCGTCTAGCTTCCTGCAAATGAGTAAGTAGCATTATATACATTATATTATTGGGGAAATTAAATCTGAAGCTAATAATTAACCACTTGAGATGTTACTTTGTTGATGGAGATGGAATGACAGACTTAGCATTGCTGAATTGAAGATGCGTTGTTGATTAGGCCTTTCCGGTAATCTGACCCTGAAGCTCGTGCCATTGAAGAACATCATGATGATTCTACAATAGTTAATTTTGATTATGCATTTCAGCCTTAGCATAATTTTGATTTATTTTCAAAACTATTGAAATTTTACCGGCTACCGTAGTTTAATTTTTCCGGTTTCAATCTCCGTTAGCCGGACTCGACCGGCGACCGTGTAAGTAAGAAAACCTCGCTTTTGGTCTCGACCATCGTCGCTCCGTTGCTGCCATGGGGTAGTATGGCGGTGGACGACGACAGTGAAGCTGCAGCGACGCTGTTGGTGGTTACCGTCAACCGAGGTGCGAAGGTAGCATCCGGTCATGGCTAGGGATGAAACAGCGCCATGGGTTCCGGCGGCACCGACTCTAACCAATTGAGCCTCGCTGTCAACACCTCTCAGCGAGATGGACGTAGAGAGATAATGATGGAGAAAATCCCAATGCTATGCTTGCTCCCTCCTCCGCCGTGCTCCTCCGCTTCCTATCTCAGGCTTATATGTAGTTGAAGCGGAAGAATGAGAGAAAAAAGAGCGGAGATATGGCTGTGCCCGACGATGACGATGCTGTGATCACCATCTCCAATCCTCCCGTCAACGCGTTAGCCGTTCCGAGTAAGAAGAATGAATATTAATCTATGTACTTTAACTTGTAATCTTTCTTCAACCTGCAAATTTTCTTTCCCAAGTTTTTTTATTGCTTCCTAATGTCTGATCCATTATATGATTGCGAGCTATATTCCTATACAATTTCTAGTTTTATTCTTCCCCTTGCAGGGGGAACTGATTGGATTTGGCATTCTCTAAATCATTTATGCTTTTTTTTTTTTCCAGGAAGTGGGAGGAGATTCTCTGTTAGTTTTGACATCAATGTTTTTGAACAAGTTCACAAGCATGGTATAGTCCCCTCCTCTTTTTATGTTAGTCTGTTGGTGTCTTTCCTATGGTGTTATTTCAAGTTTGTGGATCATTTTAATGAGAAGCAATTGAATTTTATGGCCTCATGGGATATTTCTGTACTACCAGATGTTTCTGTTGAACTTGTAGTCAACCTGATTGAATTCATAATTTTTATGTAGGTTTAGATATTGTCTGATGTCTCTCTGGGAAGTCTTCCTGAACTGCCATTCTTGTGTATTTTGATTATTTGTGTCATTTTAGATGGCAAAAAGCCTGCTGCTGCTGCTGCGATACAAGGAGGAGGTGGCTTAGAATTGGCATTGGTTTGTTGTTTATATGCTCCAATAAGTCTTTCATACTTGAGTAATATATTAATATTTGACTGTGTATACCAGCATAAGTATGTTTTGATTTGTTGAAATATTCAAGTTCATCTTGATATATTTTTAAACTAGTGGCTTGAGTGTTTGATATCCTTTTCAAGGTACACAACGTCTTCCAAGGCTTGTGGGATTGCGGAAGACTTGTGGGATTGCAGAAAGGTGTTGAAATGATGCTGGTAAGTATTCTGACAAACATTATGTATGATGAAATTTGTATGGCAAATGTGCCGGTGGTGGACGAGAGGCATATAAATGACAAACATTATGTATGATGAAATTTGATTGGGATTGTACAATGTTGATTTGCAGACATCTAAACCCATATTGTCTGAAGGGAAGAACTTAGGTCTTATTGATGCAATTGTGTCCCCAGCAGAATTGATTAAAGTGTGACGGCAGTGGGCACTGGATATTGCAGAAAGGCACAAACCTTGGATGCGATCCCTTCATACTTCATAGGACTGACAAACTATGCTCCCTTTCAGAAGCACCGGATATTCTGAAGCTTGCTAGACAACAAGAAAAGCAGACTGCTCCCAATATGCCTCAACACCTGGGTTTGCCTTGATGTGATTGAAGAAGGCAGTGTTCATGGAGGATACATTCCCTATGGGTCCATTCCAGTAATTTCTTTCCTTCATATACACAGCTCATTAATCGAAATTCATATGAGCATTTTCTGAAACAGAAAACATTTGTGTTTTAATTAATATATACAAACATGAGTGAAATAATAAGTTATTCAAGTGCTTTACATGCTCATTTTATTGGAATGATGATAAGAATTGATACATATATTATAGTCCAGCACTAAAAATGATATTTTTCTCAAAAAAAAAACCCTCTCCCTATATATCCCTATTCACTATGATATTTTTCTCAAAAAAAAAAAAAACCCCTCTCCCTATCCCTATTCACTATGATATTTTTCTCAAAAAAAAAAACCCTCTCCCTATCCCTATTCACTATGATTGAGTTCGTCAAGAAAGCTTTCAGCCATTTCAAAGCCAATGATGAAAATGCAAGGTTCAGGTTCAACTATCTTCTCTAGAAGACGAACTTGAAGGCTGAAGAGGACCATCAAAAGCTGATGCTTGTCGTGGAGGAAATGACCAAGAAGGTCTGTAAGTCAACTACCAAGATAGAACAGCTGCAAGGAGAAAAAAGAAGATATGAAGAGCCAATTGATCTCTACTGAGGAGACAACCGTAGAGCTAAAAGCCGAGTTGCAAGGAGAAAAAGAAGATATGAAGATCCAACTGATCTTACTGAGGAGACAACCGTAGAGCTGAAAACCGAGCTAGAGCAGATGAAACTTGCTATTGAGATTGCCCGAGAGAGGAGGCCAAACGTTTCAAGTGCGTATAATGGAGGAAAAATAGAAAGTGATTCATCAATAAAGAAAAAAATGGCCAACAGGGATAGTAAACTATCCAGGCTGAAAGCCATCATCTTGGAGAAGGATTAGTGTTGTCAAATCAATACAGACGTTTTTTTCTTGATGGTAACCTGCTATCGGGTGAAATTGCATCAAAAAATGGCGGGATGGGGACGGGCCAAAGCCCGGCAGGGCGTGGGCCTAAATGGGGCAGGCCAAAATAGCCCGCTCCTTGGCCGGTCTGGGTTTTACTGGCCCAAATCGCCCTCCCTTCAGCCCGCGGGCTAGGTGGGTCCCGCCCCCAAACCTTTTTTTTTTTTTTTTTTTTTAAAGTTATTACTTGTTTGTTATTGCTTTGCTAAATTTATCCAACACACAAAACTAATTAAAATAAATTGATATATAACTTACATAAAACATAACTTATCAAACATTACACATTAAACTAGTCCATAGTTCATCAAACATTAAACTAGTTACAACTCCAAAGTCCAAACTTCATAGTTTATCAAACATTAAACATAACAATAATTTTAAAATACATAATCTAAAATTATAAAGTTCACAAAATCACAAGTCCATAAATTCATCAAGCATTAGACATTCCAATTTCCGTTATTCAATTCATCTTCATTCTTCTTTTATCTCCTTGCTCTTCTTCATCTCCCTATCTTCTTCTACGCTGCAATAAAATAAACACATTCAATAATTCAATAATACATTAATACACTAAACTCTAAAATATATTTAATACACTGCAAACATAAAATTCTACTGTATGTTCAAGCAGTCAGCCCTTACATACATTCTTAAGCACTTAAAATTCTAAGTATGTTCAAGCAGTAAGCACTAATTCGATGAAACAGAAATTTAAGAAAAATAACAAGCAATATGAGAAGCTGATTGACGCCTATAGGAAGAATCCACCTAAGAGTGAAGATGAAGGGGGTGATGAGGAGTCAGAGGAGGAAGATGATGAGGATGATGATGACTTTGAAGAGGATCCAACAAAAGCAGAGTCAGAAGAGGATGAGGATGTGGGTGAATTAGAAAGTTTGCTTTTGTTCTACCAACTGAAAGTAGTATCACTTAAATGCTTTGTTATTTAAGTAATTTTAGACTTAGTTTACAGATCCTGTTCTATGTGCATTGAAATCTACTACTGTTATTGATCATCATCCCTTTTAAATTCTATTCTTTCTTTTTTTGCAATTTGTGCTCATTCATTTAAAGAGTCGTCTGCTTTCAAAATTGCTCATTGTTAGCTTCAATTTCATCTTTTATGTGTACACTAAATCATGAAAGTTAAGAGGCAAATTGGGAAGAGGGAAAATTTTAAATTGTATGTATTTTTCATATAATTATTTTGACAAATGATCGTATAATAGCACGGGTTCCATTTGATAGTAGCTCTCAATCTGACTCCACTCGAGAATAGCTCTTCCAATTGTAACCATAATTTTCATGGAACGAGTGAATGCAAGCGGGGCCTTAACACTTCACCATGCAGGGTGATTAGAGACCTCACTTTAGCCAATAGTTATTGCGTGGACTCTGGTCCACACAACTGTGTACATCACGGTAAAAAATAATGGCGTTTTGCATTTTTTTTGATGGGGTCGAAGATTAAAGACCAATACATCTTGAAACTTCTACACCATCTATCTTTGGGTAGATATTCATCAAAACTAACTTGAAGAAAATTAAAACAAATCCAAGGATATTAAAAAACTGGAATTGCAAACAAGAAGAAAAATCATTCCAGGTAAAATTTTGTATAGACATTAAAATTGGAGGTCAAAACAAAAAATACTGTAACATGCATATACCACCCAAAAATTAACAAATAGTAGCATTCAACAAACTCTAAAAATCTTTCATTATTTGCCATGCGTCGTTAAATTCAACAGTCTTTTCCATCTTCTCCAAAGCGATTCTGACAGCTTCTCTCTTGATTTTGAGGTCGACCTCTGCCCTCATCCGTACAAGTGTTTGGGCAGCTTTGATTTCTTCTTCAATCTTGGTTTACTCTGTTATCTCCAGCCTCTCTATTTCTTGTTGTTGCTTCAGATGGTCAGCAATATCTCCCTGATTGAGAGGATGATGATTTGCTTTGAAAATGAGATGTGCATAACGTTTCTTTATCTGGGCAGCACGTAGAGCCTTTGTTGAACACATAAATAGATTATGTAAAATTTTACAATAATGTTTAATAATAATAATAATAATTTAAGCTAGATAACGGTTGTATGGACTGTGATTGACATATCGATAAGGCTGGAGAAAAAAAAATTTAATTAAGATTTCGTGGAGTATGTTAAGCTCTGATACCATGTAAAATATTTAATAAAAAAAAACTCAATATGTTATTATTCCAAGCATATGCTTTTATTCAAGAATTATACAGAGATGAAAGACATCCATGTAGTTACAGTAACAGCAACAGAAACTAGCTCAAATAAGAAAATAAATAATAAACACCAACAAACACTAACATTAAGTTTTATCAGAGATTGTCAAGATAAGAAACTTACAAAACTGAAGGCCATCCTCGACGAATGCTGCTAGTTATTTTGTTTATAAATTGTAAAAAATGTCCCTCTATAATATGCTAATTATCAATGTCACCCTTGAATTATGAGTGGTGTAAATGTTGCCCCTCAATTATCAAAATGGTGCACATATAGCCCATCCCGTAACGGACATGTGGTTCCCCGTTAGTGTACGACACCGTAACGTCGGAATAAATATGTAATTTAGTTGTTTTTTCCCTCTCTCGATTCGAAGTACCAGCGATGGACAGCGGTGGGTAGTACCAGTGATCTGGTCAAACATCAGGGATCGATCCAACCAGGCACGCGGTGCTGGAGGTTATTCAAGTGGCAGTCAAGGATCACAGTACCATTTTAGGTCTGCAGCCAGGGGATCGGAAGCCAAGGGGATGCATAGGCTTGAATGGTTAGTCTTAACAGGGGAGTACGAGCGTAGAGAAAATTTAATTTTGTACCTTGAGAGAAAACTTACCTGATGAATTTGACTTTTTTTTTTTCTTTTTAATTTTGTTATTCTCATCATTTATCTTGTCGCGAATTAGAAAGTTTGCTTTTGTTCTACCAACCGAAAGTAGTATCACTTAAATAATAGTTGATACCACAACAAACGATATTAATGAAGATGTAATTATTGTGGGTGATAATAATGTGTAACTACATACATGGTCTTTTTTCATATTATGTTTGAATATTGATATGATTTATACGAAGTTAGCATTTCACTATGGAATTTGTAAAATTTATCCGTAATGTTCGTTTGGAATTTTGTATTATTGTATTGTATCGTCTTTTGAGTTGTTATGAATTTGTGAAATTTATTACTCAACTTTAAAATGGTTGTTTCTGTTGATTTTCTCCATTGTAGCATCTCATATCTTTTATGAAGCTCCCAACTCGCAAGAAAACCTTACCGAAAAAATCTTAGGAAAGGGGGCTTTGTTATTGTGTGAAAATAGGCACATAGCAGCATGCCCATTTAGAGCAACCACACCAATGCATAATGGGAGGATAATGTCAGAAATTTGTGCCATGTGGAAGAAAGAGAAGGAAGAAAGAGAAAAATGGGATCCTCCTGCAAATATGGGGAGATTTCAGAAATGTGGGACCCACCACAATTTTTAACCAAGTGTGACAGCCATGCGTGGCTGTCACCTCTGCGCCCAGCTGGCGCGTGCAGTGCAGTGCACGCGCCAGCTGGGCGCGTCAGGCGCGCCGAGAGGCGCGCCTGACATTCTTTATTTATTATTATTTTTTTTAAAATTTAATTTTCCTTTTTTTTTTTCCTTTTTTTCTCTCCCCTCCCATCTTCTCTTTCCTAATCACTCTTACATTATCTCTCTATTCTCCTCAACAAATGTGGATGCTCTTAGAGAAATTTAGAGATTTCAGATTTTTATATAATTTAATTTGTAGATGTGAAATATGAAAAGTTGCAGAGGCAATTCAAAAGGAGCTGTCTGTCTAGCTCTGCTTTTTACTCCTCACCTATAGTAATGAAGCGATGATGTGATTAAAACTATCCCTATTTGAAAAATAAGATTTAAATGTTTGATTGTTACAGAGAAAAATCTCCTAAAATTATTATATTAAATATTTTAGATAATGATTTGGATGCCAAGTAAGCTTACCTACTAAAACAAATAAAAAAATGTGTAATTGTACTTTTTTTTTTTTCCTAAAGGATCTCTTTAAAAAATTTTAAATTTAAGAATTCAATTTCATTTTACTAACAAGTTTGAAAGTTTATATGACTCGTATTTCATAATTAAAAATTATTGTGATTTTATAGGCTCACTCATGGATACATCGTTACTTT